AAAAGTTTATTCTTTTCTATCAAGACTGTGGCAATTCAGTGTTTTCTGTTTTGATAAATATTTTGATACTGAAAGCTTATGCTATATGGTTTATCTGATGTGTGTTAAGTCTTGCATGAGTGGATCAAGGAACTCTTAAGAAAAGGTCAAACAAGAGGATATGAGAAATGTAGGTGCTTCAGTAGCCACGTGGGCATGGGAAAATTAGAATTTTGAGAAACTGTTATTTCATAAGTGTGTACCATAGCTGATCAATTTAGAACACTTTATTTGATGAGAGGTCAATCACACATTCAGCTGAACTGGCATCCCAACTGTCTATTTCCTAAGTGACAGGACAAGGGGAAGCACATGATAACTACTTGTGGTGTTCTGGCATCAATGCCTCTGATGTTTTCGAGTTTACTCTGTAGCATCGATCATGAGCCTTGACATTGATTCTCTCAGGTTATGGTTTGCTCCAATGTTTGCTCCTTACCAGCCCAACGTGTTCACATTAATATCTAAATTTCCTATTTTACTTATAGGCATTTGAAACAACCTCACTTTTGAAATACAAACTTTGTGATTTAGGAATCCTATATTCCTATTTTACTCAGTATATCTCCATCAAGATGCTGTCCTAGAACAACGAAAAGAAGATGCGAAAAAGAACCTTCAAAACCTTAAGTAATTCAGAGCCAGGCATGAGGACTCAGCTTGATACTAACACTGCATGAATGTTTGGTTGGCCCTGTCATATCTACATATAATTGATCAACGTGTTCCCTTTGCTTTGTAGGGCCTCCTGAATAACATCCTCTCTTGAAGGTAATTATATATATGTATTTTTAGTTACTTTGTATTGTATAAAATGTATATTATTTATTAGTTAATTTCTTTTAAAACCCATTCAGCCGACCACTGAAATGGAAGATCCTGCTGTGAGACATGCAGTACAAAGAAAGAATGTACAGACATCAAGAGCAGGTACATTTTCATTACAAATGAAATGCTGGAAATAAGTATATTAAATGGTTGGAAGTACTCACATTTTTCTTACCCCTAATTCTTTTTAATCTAAATTGAATGGAAGGGATTGACATAAATGTTATTGTTGATATCCATATTTCAATAAAAATAAATTTATATGAAAACAAGATTTTAAAAATAGGAGTTTTAACTCATGTTTCTATTTTAATATTTTTAATAGCATAATAGTTAGAATATGGAATTTTTATATTTGTCAGGGATTCGAAGCAGTGAATTTTAAGGCTCGGAGATATTTCCAGTGTCTTATGTGCTAGCTGGAATTCTGACACTTACCTAAAGGAATCCTTTACCTAGATGTTAGTTTCTGCATTAACATTAGAGACTTTCTGTTAATGTTATTACATCGATGATCTGAAACAAATGAGATGTTTTAACGAGCATATTGTGTGCATGTGTGTGTATGGGTGTGTTTGTGGCATCTTTGATTATTAAAAACTAGGAAAGTAATCATTCATAACTGGAAGACAGTCTAAATAATTGCATAGAGGCGACCAACATTATGACCATCTCTGAGGCTACCAACATCACTGCCTGTTTTCCATTTCCGTATCCTTTTGAAATCGTTAAGTATACTGTGATGCTCAGAAATAATAGGCAGAATCTGTGTGTCCTAGAATGGAATATGAGTGGTTTTACACTTTACACGTCGTTCTGCCACTTTCTTTTGGGTACTTTGTATTATATTTTCCACATGTATCCACACTGATATGATTCGCTCTGGTTTAATTCATTTTACACTTTTCATTGTGTTCGCTTATACCACTCTACCACATTTAGTTAGACTCCCCTGTTGCAGATAAATGAAAACAGAAAAATAGATTTGGGTGCGGTGACTCAAACCTATAGTCCCAGCAGTTTGGGAGGCTGAGGCCAGCAGACCATGAGGTCAGGAGATGGAGAGAATCCTGGTGAACATGGTGAAACCCCATCTCTATTAAAATATAAAAAAAATGGCTGGGCATGGTGGTACATGCCTGTAGTCCCAGCTATCCGGGAGGCTGAGACAGAAATCGCTTGAACCCGAGAGGCGGAGGTTACAGTGAGCCAAAATTGCGCCACTGCTCTCCAATCTGGCAGCATAGCAAGAATCTGTCTCAAACAAAAAAAAAAAACAGAAAAAGATAAATAATGTCAGATTATAAGGGGCTTTTATTTAATCCCTTTGTATGTGTGAATATTTACTGTATGAGAGTTTAAGGCTGAGAAGTTCAGAATGCAAGGATGCACCACCATATTTTACAAATGCCCTTAGATTTTATGACTCTTGAGCCTTTAGCATAGGAAGTTACAATTTGTTTCTCTAAAGAAGTTTACTGTGCTGTTCTCTTAAAAAAAAAAAAAAAAAAGAAAAAGAAAATAGCAAATGACATTGTCTTATTTGACGTCTTGGACATCATCGAATGAAACTGTAACTTACTCATGTCAAAATTCAGAATCAACATTTTGAACAATATATATATAGTTTGTGAATGTCCCATCATCATGAATGAGCCCTTGATGATGAAATGGCCTTTCAAGTTTTACTTGTGCATTTTTTGCTCTTTTTCTTTACTTGTCTTACAAAAGCTTAAATTTAATAGTTTTATTTCTACAGAAAGCAGGAATATGATTTTTAAATATATTTGTCCTGTTTCATGGCATCGTGAATTCTTCAGATCTAGTGTGGACCTAGACTTATTTTTACATGGGAACAATTAGGTTTGTTTCTTTGTCCTTGATGAGACAGAGTCTTGTTCTGTGATGTGGTTCAGAGTGGATAAGCTCTTAAAGCATTAATCTTTTCAGTAGTTCTTTCTGCGGTAGGTAAAATGGCAGGTGAATTTGGGCCTTGTTTTATGTAGGGCAGACCATATAGCTCCAACTAAGTAAAACACCCAGCACCTTCCCCAGGAGTATTGGCCAGGGTAACACATTAGTATCTCTTGAGCACTTCTCCACTGGCAGCTGGAAAGTTTTTGGGAGAATCCCTGTTTCTGGTCTGATACTTACCTTTTGCTGACTTCTGGTGATAGGGTGTTTTATCCGAAACTGAACAATTTTAACTGAAGAGCTAGAAATAATGTGTTGTGTTACAAAAAAGTAAGTATAGTAGTTCCCCCTTAAGTATGAGAGATAAATTCAGAGGCTCCCAGTGAATGCCTGAAAGCACAAATAGTACTGAATCACTCTCAGTTTTTTTTTTTTTTTCATACTTAAATATCTATGATACAGTTGAATTGATAAATTAGGCACAGCAGGAAATTAACTAATAAAAAAATGGAAAATTATAGTAATATGCTGTAATGCAAGTTTTTTGAATGTGGTCTCTTAAATATATGGTATGGTTCTCACCCTTTTTCCCGTGATGATGTGAAGTGATGCAGTACCTATGTAATGAGATGAGGTGGGGTGAATGACGTAGGCATTGTCATGTAGTGTTGGGTCACTATTCACCCCCTGACTCTAAGTCAGAAAAAAAGATTATCAGCTTTGAGTGTTCCTGGACCTTCAGGCTTCAATGACAGTGATGGCGGGATGCAGGAGGAGACCATGTTGATGACTAGGGCTGGACAGCACATGCAGTGTGAATGCACTGGACAAAGGAATGATTCACATCCTGGGATGGATAGTGGGCAAGAGCTCAAGATTTTATTGTGCCTCTCAGACTGGCACACTAACACTTATGACTTGTTTATTTCTGGAGTTTTCAATGTAATGTGTTTGGAATACAGTTAACTGTTAGAGCTGTAACCACATAATTCAAAACTGCAGATGTAAAATCTGTGTTTGGACTTTGACTCATTTCTTGGTGTACAATTCTTAAAATCCTTAGAATTTCCAAAGTGATGTCTTTTAGTATGCTAATGATCGATGGCTGGAAGCTCCTAGGTAGGTTCAGGATGGGAACTGGTACCATGCTGAAGACATGCCTGATTAGAGGGTTGAGATCTTCTGTCTCACTCTGCAAACTCTGGGGAGGACAGAAGGGCTGAAAGTTGTCAGTCACCAACAGCCAGTGATTGATTAGTTATGCCTATGTATTGGAGCCTTTATACAGACCCAAAGGGACTGGACTTGGAGAGCTTCCAGATCGCTGAATACACGCAGGTTCCTGGAGGGTGGTGTGTCCTGAGAGGGCATGGAATCTCTGTGCCACTAGCCCCATACATTGCACTATGCATCTCTTCATCTTTACCTTTTGTACTGTCATTCATATTATACTGCTAAGTGTGTTTCCTGAGTACTTTAAGCCATTCCAGCAATTCAGTTTAACCCAAAGAGGGAGTCCTGGGAACCCCAATTTGAAGCTGATTGGTCAGAAGTTCTGGACTTTCAGACTTAGGACTGATGTAGTGAGGCAGTCTCACGGGACTGAGACCTTTACCTGTGGAATCTGATGCTGTCTGCAGACAGAGTGTGAGAACTGAATTAGATGACACCCAGTTTGTGTCATCTGCAGAAGTGATTGCTTGCCTGTTGGTGGGAAAAACCTCTCCACATGTTTCGTCACAGAAGCTTTCTTTGTTGATGATTGTTGCTGTGGTGTGAGAGCGGAGAAAAAGATGGCATATGTGTCTTTTCCACACATACAGTGGATAAGGAGTACTACTGTTTACCGTTTCAACTGCCCCCCTTCATATTTTGGTCCAGAAATCATGGTGTTTGACACTGGTAACTCATGCTGTCTGTTCTGCTAACAATACCATTTTTATTCAGTTTCATAGGGTTTGGCTAGGATGACTTGTATACTGCAGTTCACTTGTAGATACCAAATTTTGATAAGTTTATTCTTCTTTGTGTTTAATAAATACAAAGTAAGGGAAGTAAGAGTTCTTACTGCACTAATCACATACCAATAGGTATAATTTATATTAATTCTAATAAGATCCAATCTAATAAGCTCCCAAATGAATGGTTTATAACAAAGCATCAGTTGTATACTTTAAAGAAAAATGATCTAAATCATTTACAGAACTGTGGATACTTTTTTTTTAAATGAAGGTAGCATCTTGCTATGTTTCCCGAAACTGGTCTCAAACTTCTGGGTTTCTCAAGTGATACTCCTTCCTCAGTCTCCCAAATAGTTGAAATTATAGCCATGCATAACTGTCCTTTCTTATGGTTTTAATATTCTATACATTACTGATTGAAAATGCATTTTTTCTTTAATAGGTTGTGGGAGTTCTGATGAATCTGCAGTCAGGTAGGACTTTACAGTTTTAAAAAATTATGTTAACTAAGAAAACATAGACGGAAAAAACTAATATCTATTGAGTGTGTATTCTGGGCTAACCACCCTATTAAATGCATCTCAAAGCCATCATGTCTGTTTTCTTATAACCTACTGTTTATTAAATAGGCAACTGTGATTTAGAGAGGTTGATTAAATGGATCATGATCCCATAGTTCAAAAAGTAGCTGGCCCACAGTTTGGCCATCAGCCTTTCAAATCTTTTTTCTTGCTAATCAGCACAGATTGATAGAGATACTTGTGCAGAACTTTGATCAAGGTATAGGTCTGAATAAGATGAATCAGATAAATTATTTTAATTAATGTCTAAATTAATGAGTTTAAGTAAGTTAAACTCTCATTTTAGGTCTCACTTAGTAATGAGGTTAGTCCTTGAGTTTGTCCTAATATATTTGACAATTTTTGTGGTAACCAGCATTTTTTTTTTTAAATTAACCATCAAAGTCTTTATGACAGAATAAAGGTTTGGCTATTGGACTGGAAGTTTTACAAAACCAAGATTTGGCAAGTCTTGGAGAGAAATTATTTAACATCCCAGTTTTGTTTTCCCTTTAGGCTAGTATTTCTGCCTACTTCCATAATGCTTTCTTTTTCAATTTCTTTTTCCATTACTTTCATTCTTTGTTGTTTTCAAATTCTGCTGGCTGTGTATTCCGAATTTTCCTATAGACAGAACCAAAAGTCCACAGAATTACAGAAGTTTAAGGAGTCTTGGGACTAATTAAAATACCTTCAAGGACTTCAATCTGTGTTCAAGTGATTTTCTAGATTGACAACTTGAGACTCAGAGATGAGGATGCTTTTTTTGGACACAAGACACGCTAGAAATGAGATCTGAACACGTTTTAAAGCCCAATAGTCTTCCTTCTTTTTCTAGTCTATTGGCATGTGTTTTTTGAGACAGAGTTTTACTCCTGTTGCCAGACTGGAGTGCAGTAGCACAATCTTGGCTCACCACAACCTTCACCTCCTGGGTTCAAGCGATTCTTCTGCCTCAGCCTCCTACGTACATGCGATTACAAGCATGTGCCACCATGACCAAATAATTTTGGATTTTTAGTACAGACGGGGTTTCTCCATGTTGGTCAGGTTGGTCTCGAACTCCTGACCTCAGTTGATCTGTCTTCCTTCGCCTCCCAAAGTGCGGGGATTACAGGTGTGAGCCACCACACCTGGCCTGGCATGTGTTTTAATAATACAAAGGGGGAGTGAATCTGGTGCACGGAGTGGATAGACTGAGAATGGAATTAGCTGGTGAACGCAATGGAAATGGCAAAGAATGGAATGAGCAGGGCAAGGCCAGGTTTGAAGAGAAACAACCCTGGATACGGATTATTCAGTAACAGATTAGAATATTGGGGTTTATGACAAGTCTGATAAATCATAAAGATGAAGGACACAAGATACTGGGAATTATCTACAAAGGCACATTAAAATAGAGGGCTCAAGGAAGCTCTAAACAGATTGCTGTGCTCTTTTTAAATCAAGAACTGACAAACTGGAAGATTTTTGCTATAAGATGCTAAAACATGTGGAGACTCTGGGAGGAGTGTCTACATCAGACAGAAATGTGGTGTCATCTAATTCCATCCTGACTTACAGAGGAGGCTTAGAGCCCCTTGAGTACTGATGGGCTCAAGACTGCTGAACTACATAGATCAGTGGTCCAAGGCAGGTGTCTCCTCATCCATTCTGTTGGCTGCCGGTTGACTCTAATGATTGTTTCTTTTGCTATGCAGAAGCTCTTAAGTTTAATTAGATCCCACTTGCCTATTTTGGCTTTTGTTGCCACTGCTTTTGATGTTTTAGTCATGAAGTTCTTGCCTATGCCTCTGTCCTGAATGGTACTGGCCTAGGTTTTCTCCTAGGGTTTTTATGGTGTTATGTCAATGTTTAGAAGTTTCTTTGAAATGAGTGAATAAGATGTGATTAAGTTGCATTTTGGCTAATTTGGGGGGGGGGTGTCAGGCAGTTATTTGATATGATAGCTGATTTGCTAATTTTAGAAGCAGTTGTGTTATAAAGTTTATTCTGTGAATACCAAATTTATCATTTTCTAAGAATACTGCACTGATCTTGAAATATAAAAGTTTATTCTTTTCTATCAAGACTGTGGCAATTCAATGTTTTCTCTTTTGATAAATATTTTGATAGTGAAAGCTTATTCTATATGGTTTATTTGATGTGTTTTAAGTCTTGCATGAGTGGATCAAGGAACTCTGATGTCCTTCCCATATTCACATAGACTGGGTCATGGGCAGCACAGGCTGTCAACTCAGTAATGAAGTTCAGCTGGGTAGCTGGAGGTGTGTCTGTCCTGGTAGTAGAGACTCCAGTTAGGTTGTTATTCAAGAGCAGGGATATGGAGCGCTCCTACTCCTAGCCATTTTAGGCCATCTTCACAGGAATCTGTGCTTTCATACACTGAAGATTAGAAGACTGGAAACTGCCATGGAGCCCTACATAAGTGGAATCTGGAAGTGCGACTCCATAGGAAGAAAGGTATTTATATAGTACTTACGGAAACAGAGGTACAACTGCCAGGACTCTGTTTTTCCAACAATCTCTCTCATTGATATCTGAGTGCTTATGAAGGTTTTAAGGGCTTACTAGTTTATGAGGTCCTGAATAAGGTAGAAGCTATAGAGTGAAAATAATTGGATTTTTATAATTGTTAATGTTTTAATCTTTCTGGGAAAAGTATCCTCAATAAGAAAATACCCTTTCATTATTAGATTTTTGTACATTTAGCTCTCACACATTTCAAATATAGTAGGGGATTCTCTGTACTCTTAGGATAAAGGAAAGCATTGGGACCTTAAGTGGTTTTCATGCTGAAGAATCAAGAGTGCAATTTTGAAGTGATACACATTAGTCTTTTAAGCACATATAGATACCGTACAAGAGACAGTGGATCTTTCTACCTTGTTTTAGGTAATAGGGTTCCTTCCAGTTTAGGTGAGGAAAGTTAGGTCATCCATTAATTGAATTTCATGTTCTGCTTCAGGACAGGTAATTTGTGAGGGTAAATTATTGTCAAGCTTTGCCAATATATTGGGTGTCACGATTTGTTATGGAGCTCAAAGTTAGTTTTCAATGAATATTTTACAGATTTAGACAGCTGGAGGCAGAAATAGGTAACCAAAATCTATGTTTAGAACAGAGGCCATATTTTAATTGTATCAAGAAATGTTATTTAATATACACATTGCCGACCTTTTCCCAGGTTGTGTTTTTGTTTTTTTGAAGGGGAAAGCTGAATATGAACTGGCAGGTAAAAAGTTTGTAAAAAATAAAAGATAAAAATAAACGTGCTCATTCATACTGCATATTTTTTCTCTAAAGCATTTTCCATGAACTGTGTGTGGACTCCTGTCTGAAACCTGATGATGAAGACTTGACTGTTACTACAAAGGTAAAGTGGTCTCTTGTAAAATTTTCTCACTCAGTCAACTTTTACAAAGTGTTTACTTTTAAAATTTGGCAGAGGTTTACCTATTACTGTTTTATGATGGTTATGTACAGCTGGTCAGAGAAAACCATAGACTTATGGCTAGTTGATTAAAAATTTTACTTGACGCTGGTAACAAAAGATGATAAGAACTGTGACATGGCGGGGGCTCAACAAAAATTAACTGGAAAATACATAGCAACAGAAAAATCACATTAGGAAATGCTTTCCCCGATAGAGAAAATATATAAAATTTGGTTAAAGTTTACTTAAATAAATACTAATACCTTGACTTTTTAATCATACTAATGTAACATGTATATTTTTGCCAGTATAAATCTTCAGTGGATCAAATTACATGTTGTAGTCACGGAATCTCCCTGGTACCTTTTAGTTGAAAAACTGTACAACAAATACAGCTGTTTTACTTGGACCCTTATTATTTGGGTATTATATACTTGGTAGGAGAGATTGTTCCTCTATTATATTATTGGTTCTGTATTGAGACTAAAATATTAAAAATTGTAGAAAAAATACCTGGGTGTGGTGATATACACCTATAGTCCCAACTACTTGGGAGTTTGAGGTTGCTTGAGTCCAGGAGTCTGAGAACCACCTGGGAAGCATAACAAAACTGCATCTGATTTATTTATTTTTAAAAATCATATTGAGTTCAGGGGTACATATGCAGAACGTGCAGGTTTGTTACATAGGTTTACATGTGCTATGGTGATTTGCTGCATCCATTCCCCAGTCATCTACATTAGGTATTTCTCCCAATGTTATCCCTCTACCCCTGCTATCCCTCACTTATTCCCGACAGGCCCTGGTGTGTGATGTTCCCCTCCCTGTGTTCTTATTGTTTAACACCCACTTAGGAGTGAGAACATGCAGTGTTTGGTTTTCTTTTCTTGTGTCAGTTTTCTAAGAATGACAGTTTCCAGTTTCATCCATGTCCCTGCAATGAACATGAACCCATCCTTTTTTATGGCTGCATAGTATTCCCTGGTGTATGTGTGCCACATTTTCTGTATTCAGTCTATCATTGATGGGCATTTGGATTGGTTCCAGGTCTTTGCTATTATAAACAGTGCTGCCATAAACATTTGTGTGCATGTGTCTTTATAATAGAGTGATCGATAATCCTTTGGGTATATATTCAGTAGTGGAATAGCTAAGTTAAATGGTATTTGTAGTTCTATATCCTTTAGGAATTGCCACACTGTCTTCCACAGTGGCTAAACTAACTTAAACTCCTGCCAACAGTGTAAATGTGTTCCTATTTCTCCACATCCTTTCTATCATGTTGTCTCCTGATTTTTTAATGATCGCTATTCTTACTGGCATGAGATGGTATCTCAATGTGATTTTCATTTGAATTTCTCTAATGACCAGTGATGATCAGCTTTTTTTCATGTTTGTTGGCTGCACAAATGTCTTCTTTTAAGAAGGGTCTGTTCATATCCTTTGCCTGCTTTTTGATTGGGTTGTTATTTCTTGTAAATTTGTTTAATTTCTTTCTAGATCCTGGATATTAGCCCTTCGTCAGATGGGTAGATTTAAGGTTAATAGTGTTATGTGTGAATTTGAGGGTACCATTTTGATGCTATTTCGTTGCTTTGCCCAGTAGTTGATGAAGTTTCTTCAGTGTCTATGGCCTTCACAATTTGGTATGTTTCTCCAGTGGCTGATAGTGGTTGTTCCTTAACATGTTTAGCTGTTCCTTCAACAGCTTTTGTAAGGCAGGCCTGGTGGTGATGAAATCTCTCAGCAGTTGCTGATCTATAAAGGAGTCTATTTTTTCTTCGCTTATGAAGCTTAGTTTGGCTCAACATGAAACTCTGGGTTGCAAATTCTTTTCTTTAAGGATGCTGAATATTGGCCCCCACTCTCTTCTGGCTTGTAGGGTTTCTGCTGAGAGATCTGCTGTGAGTCTGATGTGCTTCCCCTTGTGGGTAACCTGATGTTTCTCTCTAGCTGCCTTTAGCATTTTTTCCTTCATTTCAACCCTGGTGAATCTTTACGATTATGTGCTTTGGGGTTGCTCTTCTGGAAGTTTATTTTTGCTGTGTTCTCTGTATTTCCTGAATTTGAATGTTGGCCTGCCTTGCTAGTTTAAATAACTCCTAGGTAATATTCTGAAGAGTGTTTTCCAACTACGTTTTTACTCTCCCTCTCACTTTGTTACACTGATTAAACACAGATTTGGGCTTTTCACATAATCCTATATTTCTTAGAGGCTTTGTTCATTTCTGTCTTTTTTTCTCTAAGCTCACATTCTTGCTTTATTTTGTTGAGTTGATCTTTAATCTCCGATATCCTTTCTTCCACCTGATCGAGTGGTTATTTAAACTTACGTCTGTTTCACCAAGTTCCTATGCCGTTTGGCCTGAGCCAGCAGCACAATTTTAGGCACCAAAGGGCTAACCCCAGAAGAGGTGGGAGAGAGGACCCAGGAAGCAAGATACAAAAGGAATAAATATGCAGCTGGCAGCATGGTCAGGGAGACTGTGGGAACAGGCTAAAGTAACATGAATAAAAGCAAAACTCAAAAATGCAGGGTCTCACAGAAAGGAGACATAGACATGCTTGGAAGGGAAGCAGGGGCTGCAGATCATTCCTGGATGTGGGGAAGCAATCTGCGCCAGGGATTCTCAGTCTCGGTTGCAAGTGAATCACAGGGGGCTTTAATAACTGAGCAGATGGCAGTTGGGCACCGTCGCTCATATCTGTAATCCCAGCACTTTTGAGGCCAAGGCGGGCAGATCACTTGAGGCCAGGAGTTCGAGACCAGCGTGGCCAACATGGTGAAACCCCGTCTCTGCCAAAAATACAAATATCTGTTGGGCATGGTGGAGTAGGACTATAGTCCTAGCTATTCGGGAGGCTGAGGCAGGAGCAACACCTGAACCTGGTAGATCAACAGTGAGCCACGATTGTGCCACTGCACTGCAGCCTCAGTGACAGAGCGAAAGCCTGTCTTCAAAAAACAAAAAGATGATGCATATTAGGGTGAAAGAAAGATTCTTCAAATAATCCCCAATAAGATGTTGACAATGGGCAGAAAAAGATGTACAAAAAGAAAACCATAATGTGGCTGGGCACGGTGACTCATACCTCTAATTCCAGCACTTTGAGAGGCCAATGTGGGTGGATCACCCAAGGTCAGGAGTTCAAGACCAGCCTGGCCAACATGGCAAAACCCTGTCTGTACTATAAATACAGAAATTATCCAGCAATGATGGTGCATGCCTGTAATCCTAGCTACCTGGGAGACCGAAGCAGGAGAACCACTTGAACCCAGGAGGAAGAGGTTGTAGTGACCTGAGATCGCACCACTGGACTCCAGCCTGGGAGACAGAGTGAGACTCCATCTCAAAAAGAAAAGAAAACCAGAAGAAGACATACTAAAACAGTGACAATGGTTGCTTCTGCGTGTTTCCTTACTATTGACCTGCACATGTGATTTTTAAACCCATATTTCCTAGGTGAGACAGTATTATTTTTCTAAGGAGTGGGGGATGGGAGGGGAACAATGTCAACAATAACTATACCTAATATTTTAAAAACCCAAATCTGTCAGGTTGAACATGATGTCTAGGCAAGAAATAAAATATATAAATATAACCCAAATCTGAAGCTAAAGCAAGAGCAGTCCAGTGTATAGCTTTCCCAGACCAAGCCCTCTGCAGAGATTTAAGCTGCTCGTGGCTCATGTGCACCACATTCAAGGTGATGGACTTGGGGGATAGAGTTGGTGTCTGAGACCACATGGCCAGCACAGGCAGATTCAAGACAACTCTGCAGAAGAGCCAAGGAGAGGGAAGTCAAGCAGGGAGCTGAGCATGTTCATTCATTAATTCCCCACCACCTCCCCGAGGTCTCAGCGACCCAGCCTTACCCTGTGATCCACCAGAAGGTGATCCTGGACAGGAAGGAGGCGCTGGACTCTGAGCAAGGATTCTAGAGGAAAGAAAGAACAGGTTAGGGAGGAAGAGGAAAAGGAACAATTCAACTTTTCATCCAGGCCACAGCTTGGCAAGGAGTAGTCAGCTGCCCATTCATCCTTCAAGAGGACCAGTATCCGCTCCACACCATTCTACGCCCCAAAAGGATTCTCTCCCAAGCCCCAGGAGAAAGAAACTCATAGCAGCTCCTCTCATTTCACTCAACAGAGTGTCTACCAGGCACAACCACAACAAGCTATCGACCTGCCTTATCTTCTATCCCTGCAGCAACCATAGGAGCTGGTGTTAACATCATCCCCACTTCACTCATTCATTCAACAAATATTTTCTTAGCACCTACTATGTGCTAGGCACTCTATAAGGTACTACAGGGTTACCTTAGATCCCCATGACAACCCCGTTTTCCTCATTCAGGCATTGAATATTTATTGACCACTTACTATGAGCTAGACATGCTACCCAGAACTTACATACTTGCATTATTTTATATCCTCATGGAATTCTATATACATGGTATTACTATTATCTCCACTTGATTCATTCATCAAACAAATGTTTCCTGAGCACCATCCATATGCCAAGCACCCTGCATATAAATCTAAACAAACAGAAATGACCCCTGCCTGTATGGAGCTTGTGGGTCACTGCAGTAATCATCAGTAAAACCTGCCAAGATTCTCTAGTATTAATAATTAGCTCTAAGTGCTTTACACAAATTACCCTATTTAATCTTCATCCCCACCTCACAAGGTAGGTGAAAGTATTATATCATCCCTGATTTGCAGTTAAAAGAAACTGGGGACCAGAGATGAAATGATTTGTTCAAGGTCCCACAGCTAAAAGTGGTGGAGACAGGACGTAAGCCCCAAAGAGTCAGGCTCTAGAGAGACATGCATCAAATGATCACAGGAACAAATGCAAAACTGCAACTTCTGGGCCTTGATATGAGTCCTAAAAGTAGAGAAATATTACCAATGAGACAAGGTCAGCACATGGGGGCTGATCTGGTGTACCAAAGTCAGGGAAGTTTCCCCAAAGGAAGACAGTCAAGCTGGTGCCTGCAAGATGAGTAGAGGAGAAGTAAGTAACGAGGAAAGGCAAGGCACTCCCAGCAGGCAGCAGCGTGTACAAAGGCCTGGTGGCAGAAGGAAGCATGGCAGACTCCAGGAACCAAGAAGGGGCCTGAGCAGTCTACAGTGAAGGCTATGCATAGCCTACACTGCAGGCCACATATTTTGGTATTGATTCTAAGGGCAAGGGAAAGTACTGAGAGCCTCTAAGCAAGCTATCGGCTTACTTCCCAGAGGCACGAAGATGAGCCCCAACTCAACATACAAGCAAGGAAAGGGACCGACACAGAGTCCTGGGATGACAGACCAAGCCTGGCTTTCAACACAGATGCATTCCGCTCAAAATTCTGAAACAAGCTTTAAGCAGGAGGGGGAAGAAAGGTCACCATGTAGCAATAAGACCTTTAGCCAAGGACTCCACTCAAAGTTCCAACCTTGTGCAGAGATAAGGTGTTTACAGAGTCCGATAAGGCAGCATACTCTCCTCAAGTGCTTTTCCATCCAAGGCTAGGTGTGCTTCTTAAAAAACACTGTATCCTGGTAGGGTGTGGTGGTTCACGCCTGTAATACCAGCACTTTGGGAGGCCTAGGCGGGCAGATCACTTGAGGTCAGGAGTTGGAGACCAGCCTGGCCAATATGGCAAAACCCCATTTCTACTAAAAATACAAAAATTAGCTGAGAGCGGTGCCTCACAACTGTAGTCCCAGCTACTCAGGAGGCTGAGGCAGGAGAATCACTTGAACCCAGGAGGCAGAGGTTGCAGTGAGCTGAGATCCCACCACTGCACTCCAGCCTAGGGACCCTGTCTGTATCTGGGCCCTATCCCCACCAGGGATTCTGATTAAACTGGTTTGGGGTACGACTGGGGCACTGAAACTTTTTGTTTTAAATGTCCACATTCTTCTTGGAAAAGTGGCTGGGCAGGAAATAAGCAAGATAAGCCAAGAACATCTTGTCACACTGAACAAGGAAACTAAGCATAAACTGCATTGTTACAAGGCCCAAGAGCCAAGCAAAAGTGGCACCACAGGCTAAAAAAGGGACAATTTGAGCTTTGACAAGGAGAGTAAGTGCAGTAAGCTGAAACATACCATGTATGTATGGGGTTTTTTTTTTGTTTGTTTTTGTTTTTGAGACAAAGTCCTGCTCTGTCTCTCAGGCTGGAGTGCAGTGGCATGATGTTGGCTCACTGCAACCTCCGTCTTCTGGGTTCAAGTGGTCCTTCTGCCGTGGCCTCCCAAATAGCTAGGATTACAAGCATGAGCCAAGACACTGGGCTAATTTTTGTATTTTTAGTAGAGACGGTGTTTCACCCTGTTGGTAACCAGGCTGGTCTTGAACTCCTGACCTCAAGTGATCCATCCGCCTCAGCCTCCCAAAGTGCTTGGATTACAGAAATAAGCCACTACGCCTGGCCAAAAACCTCCATTTTTACTTAAGGTTTTAATGATTAATTTCACATTATAATGTGAAAAATAATGAGTCTCTAGCAGTCTTATCCCAAAAATTAGGACTGGTAATAAAGCACTACTTTGCTCAGTCCCATTTTCCTTCAAATCACCTATCTTGAGTAAATACACTAGCTTCATTTTCCACCCCTGTATAGGGGCAGTAAATACTACCAGGAAAAAACCCATAATTAGCAGCAGTACAAATTCAAATTTTCCAACCTGCGCGTAAGCACGGCTTTGTAATTATTTTTACCCATCCCAGGTTACAGTCACCTATTACCCCAAAATGAAATCTCAAATGTCCTCCATTCTGCATAAACCCATGCTGGCCCCTCAGTGGAAAACATCAACCATGAATTATGAGTCTCTTCACTTTACCTTCAAACCACCAATTTCTGTTGCACCGACTGTGCTTATTACCATGTATGTCTAGTATTAGACTGGACTCCTAGGAAAGAGGAACTCACATTCATTATCTCCAGGTCCCAAGGGCAAAACTCCAAAGTGTAATTAAGGAAAGAAATAACTCCAGTTCTTTCAAGTCCTGAATTTGTGGTCCTCTCAAAAATGGCAGTGTGTATTCAAGCTCTGCTTGTTTTCCTGATCAAGTTCTCCACCTTTGGTCGGGGGGTGGGGGGAGCATCTTACAAAATAGGCCAGGAAGTCAAAAATGTCTAGAGATTACTCCCACATGGTAATCTTTGCAAATAAAACTCTTAGACCTAACTTTATACTAATAAAAATTTCATGATACTTTTTATTTTTTGAGACGGGGTCTTGCTCTGTCACCCAGACTGGAGTACAGTTACAGCTCATGCAACCTCATCCTCCTGAGCTCAAACAGTCCTCCCACCTCAGCCTCCCAAGTGCTGGGGACACAGGCACAAGCCACCATGTGTGTGGCTAACTTTTTGTAGCGACGTGGTTTCACCATGTTGCCCAGGCTGCTCTCAAACTTCTGGGGCTCACAGGATCCACCTGTCTCAGCCTCCCAAAGTGCTGGGATGACAGGTGTGGGCCATTGCGTCCAGCACCAATACCACATTTTAATTGTGTGTTGAGGTGGCTGGATTGAAGGAAGAAATGGGTACTCCATTTTCTTTTATTTCCCAGTCCTAAGGGGTTTTAAACACACTAATATTAAAGTTTAAATGCCCTAGAGCTGAAAAAGAGATTTAAAACCTTGACAGTCTCACAGTATGTGGTATAAGTTGAAGAAAAATAATAAAATGCAAGATGCTTAATATTTTAAAAGAATTTGAGTGAATGTTGCATCTGTAAAAATGAAATCAGAATAATCTCAGGAAAGATTTCACTGATGAAAAAATTTTCAGAGACGAAAAGCATGATTTGCCAAATTTAAAACAGCAATACAGGCAATAAGTAGTAGATGAAATATAACCAAACAAAAATTAGTCACAAAAAAAATCAGTAAATGAATTACCAACTTGAATCAAAAGGACAAAATAGATTAACAAAATGAAAGAATGTTACAAATATGCAGATTAACCTTACCAATACTGTGTATACAAAGAAAACAGTATTTTTTTTGACAAATTTATTGAGCATCGAGCATCTAGTATACTACAACCATGATAAAATAGAGAAGAGAGACATGGAATGTGTCTTCAAAACGTCCACATCCTAGAACAAATGAAACTGAAGTAGCAACCAAAGAAATTACTGAAGAAAACTATGCTTATGAAGAAAGGGGGTAGGAAGAGAAGGAAAGGAAAAAAATAAATGTATACATTTTACATTTTAGCCAAATTTAAGGCAAAGAGATTCTGATAAAATTTCAAAGATTTCAGAGATAAAGTATCCTTCAAGCACAGTGAGGACTCGGTGTCTAGGGTAATCAAATTTTTAAAAATATTTGGGTGGCAATGTTTTTAAACGAATACCACACATGGACGAGGATATGGTTAAATTGGCACTGCCATATATTTGAAGTGGGAACATAAATTGTTTTAATTTTCTAGATGTAAATTTGATGAAGCCACTTCATGTACAGCTTAAGAACCTTACTAAGGTTTCTCCCAGGCATGGTAGCTCACGCCTGCAAACCCAGAACTTTGGGAGGCTGAGGAAGGTGGATCACTTAAGGTCAGGTGAATCACCTGACGTCAGGAGTTCAAGACCAGCCTGGCTAACATGGTGAAACTTCAACTCTACTAAAAATACAAAAAACTGCTGGGTGTGGTGGTGCATACCTGAAATCCTAGCTAGTTGGGAGGGTGAGGCAGAACTGTTGAACCCAGGAGGCAGAGGTTGCAGTGAGCAGGGATTGTGCCACCACACACCAGCCTGGGCAACAAAGTGATACTCTGTCAAATAAATAAATAAAATATAGTCTTAATAAGGTTTCCTATGTTCTTCCCATACCCTTCCATTTTTTGTGCTATTGTCATATCTTTTACTCCCACATTATAAAACTTATAATGCATTATTTTTGCTTTAAAAAACTGTCTTTTTAAAGCTACTGTTGCGTCACCATGCCTGGCTGATTTTTGTATTCTTTGTAGAGATGGGGTTTCGCCATGTCACCCGGGCTGGTCTCGAACTCCTGGACTCAAGCAATCATCCAGCCTCAGCCTCCCAAACTGCTGAGATTGCAGCTGTTGGCCACTGCACCCAGCCCTGGTAGGCTTTTTTGAGAAGTATTTTAAAGATGTCTCTCCAGGCCAGGTGCAGTGGTTCACACCTGTAATGCTAGCACTTTGGGAGCACAAGGGAGGCAGATCATGAGGTCGGGAGTTTGAGACCAGCCTGGCCAACACAGTGAAACCCCGTCTCTACTAAAAATACAAAAATATTAGCCAGGTGTGGTCGCATGCACCTGTAATCTCACCTACTCAGGAGGCTGAGGCTGGAGAATCGCATGAACCTAGGAGGTGGAGGTTGCAGTGAGCCGAGATCACACCACTGCACTCTAGCCTGGGCAAGAATGACTCTGTCTTGGACTAAAAAAAATAAATAAATAAAGAGGTCTCTCCATCGTATTTTGATTTGCTAAATTTCTGATGAGAAGTCTGCTGTCATTCTTATCTCTGTTACTCTGTACATGATGTATATTTTTTCTCTGCCTGCTATGAAAATTTTCCCTTTATTATTGGTTGCCAACAATGTGATGATGATGTGCCTTAGTGTGGTTACCTTTATAGTTATTCTCATTGGGATTCTTAAATATGTGGGCTTACAGTTTTCATCAAATTTGGAAATTTTCTGGTCATTATTTTTTACAATCTTTTTTCTGTTATCCCCTTTCCCTCTTTTCTGGGGTTCCAATTACATATATGTCAGACTGCTTCTGTCTCTAACAATTGTCCTCGTTATAGTCATTGATGCTCTATCAATTTTCCATTTTTCTTTCTGTTCTCATTTTGGACAGTTTCCATAGCTGTCTTGCAGTTCACTAATATGCAGTGCCTCAATTACTGTTAATGCCATCATTGTACTTTAAAATTTATTTCCAACTCTAGGTGTTCTGTTTGGGTCTTTTAAAAATATACCTTCTAGTTCTCTTCCCATTATGTTAACCATTTCCTCTACTTTTTGGAACCAAGAACATATTTGTAATTGTTGTTTTCATGTCGTTAATTCCATCATCTCATTTCTGGATCTAGTTGCTTTTTCTCCTGATTATGTCATATTTTCCTGGTTTTTTGCATGTCTGGTCATTTTATTGAATGCCTAACATTGTGAGTTTTATGTTTTAGATTTTGTGTATTTCTTTAAATAGCACTGGACTTTGTTCTCACACACAGGTAAGACTAAGTTGGCTGGATCTTCCGAGACTTGCTTTTTCATTGTTAGAGGAGGTCCAAAGTACCCTTTAACTTGGGGCTAATTTAGCCTCATTACAAAAGGCCATGCCCTTTTGATGCCCTTGTATATACTCTGGCTAATGGCAACACAGACTACTCCCGACTCTGTGTGAGTTCCAGGAATCATTTGGCCCGCTCCTTTCCAGTGGGGTTCCTTCTCTGGCCTCAGGTGCTCTCCTCTCATGCATGTGTAGGTCAGGACTCAACCTGACTTCAGGAGACTCCTCTGTCTGCTTCTGGAGTTCCGTGTACAACTCCCACATCCCTGGTACTCTGCCCCACAAATTATGACAATCTTCCCTCCCCATCAATCCCCATCTTGTCCTCCCAATTCAGTAAGACACCAGTCTTTAACTTGGGTTCGCCATCCCAGCTCTGCACCTTGAAAACTACCTCCAGATAATAAATTGGAGCAACCATAGAACTCGGCAGGTTTGTTTCCCACCTTTCAGTGACCACAGTCTTGTGCTGCTTGTTACCCAATGCCTACAAATTGCCATTTCATATATTGTCCAGTTTTCTAGCTGCTTACAATAGCAAAGTAAATCCATTCCTTGTTATCCATCACTGCTGGGCAGAATATATTTTCAACTATATGTTCAAGTAACAGTTTCTCAATTTTGTATCTTGTTGATACTGTTTTGAGACAAGGTCTCACTCTCACCCAAGCTGGAGTGCAGTGGCTCATAACTCACTGTAACCTCAAACTCCTGGGCTCCAGGCATCCTCCGACCTAGGCCTCCCAAAGCGCTGGGATTACAAGCATGTGTGTGCCATTACAACCTTAATTTAGTATCTCAAGGCTTAGTCTTCATCGAGCTCTACTTCTTTAAAACACCAAACTGTATTTTTTTTTTCTTTTTTTCTTGGAATTTGCCCTGCTCTTCTTAGTTTGACACTGAACTCTTAATTCTCCTACCTCTTTGATTACGATTTCTGATTCTTGAATCCTAAAAGTTTTAGGAAAGTTTAGGCAAGTTTCCAAAATCCTATTCTTGCCACATTTTCTTCTACATCTGTGTAGGACTTCACCCTATGAAATTTCAACAAGTCCCACAAATTCATTCATGACCTCTTTTGGGGCTCTTAACAGAAGTAACTAGATGACTGGCCTTGGACTTCTTCATTAATAGAGGGGGAGAAAAGGTGAATAAAACATATGATTTCTATGTTTTAAAGTGTGTGTGTAATTTGTTTTTTTGTTTTTGTTTTTTTTTTTTTGTTTTTTTTTAGCAGAGTCTTGCTCTGTTACCCAGGCAGCTCAGTGGTGCAATCTTGGCTCACTGCAACTTCTGCCTCTGGAGTTCAAGCAATTCTCACGCCTTGGCTCCTGGGTAGCTGGGACTACAGGCATGTGCCACCATGCCCGGCTCTAATTTTGGTATTTTTAGTAGAGATAGTGTTTCACCATTGGCCAGGCTGGTCTCAAACTCCTAGCCTTAAGTGATCTGCTGGCCTCAGACTGCCGAAGTGCTGGGATTACAGGCATGAGCCACCACGCTGGCTATAAAAATACTTTTATACACATACAACCAGAGGAAAAAACAGAAGTTAATTCACTTAAAGTGTAAAGAATGATGACCTGTTATATGGCTAACATTATTTTATTTTTCTGTATTTTCAATATACATGTGTATGTGTGCGCGCACGCGCGCGCGCACACACACACACACACACACACACACCCCTATTTTTTAAGTCCCCATTTCTAGCTCATAACTCCAGCTGTTTCTGCAGGTCAGAATCTCACACCACTATTTTCAAAAGCAAGTCACATATCTTCCTCCTAGAGCCTGTCTCCCTCTGTGCCAGTAAATGATACCCAATCCTCCCATAAGCTTTAGAGTCATGTCATCTTGTTGGAAACAATGAATTTCAATCCATCAGAAACAATATTATTGCAGGGGGCTCCAGAATAATGATCACAAAGGAGCACTAAAAAGCTAGCAGAATGAAAAACCCACTTTTTTCCAGGTCAGAGATGTAAGGAAAATCTGCAAGGAGGAAGCCATGCCCTTGGCATAGAAGCAGCTTGTTCCTGGGGTAAAGAGGTACATTTGGAAGAGCAGGCCAAAGTCGGACAGTAAGCCAACAAGGGAACTGTTGAGCACAGTCAAGAGGCTGGGGACTTGAGCCTGCATTTTGGGGGTACCCACAGATGACAAAAGGAGAAACACATCATAAACCCAGCTTCAAATGGCGCTTTGGCATAAAATTACTTTGCTGCCCAAACTGGCATTTAATATTGGTTGAAATGAAAAAGACATACCAGCCATCAACTTTTTACCATATAATTAATGTCATGAATAATATCATGTCTTTTTACTTTAATGCTCTTTTGAAAATGGGTAATAAACGAACAATGTACAGAATTCAAAAGTCACAAAAAAGTATGGACCTTGAGAATATTGTGTTAAGTGAGACAAACCAGTCACAAAAAGACAAATACTATATGATTGCACATGTATGAGCTGTCTAGAGTAGTCCAATTTATACAATCAAAAAGTAGAAAGGTGACTGCTGAGGGTAGGTAGAAGTACTAAGTACTTGTTTAATGGCTATGAAAAAGTTTTGGAGACTGGTTGTACGATATGAATATACTTAACACTACTGAACTGTACCCTTAAAAATGTTTAAGGTAGTAAGTTTTGGTATATGCATTTTATCACAATTAAAAATTTTAAAAAAGGCTGGGAGAGGTGGCTCACGCCTGTAATCCCAGCATTTTGGGAGGCCGAGGCAGGTGGATCACGAGGTCAGGAGTTCAAGACCAGCCTGGCCAAAATGGTCAAACCCCGTCTCCAAAAAAAAAAAAAAAAAAAAAAAAAAAAAAATCAAGTCACAAGTGAGTATAGAAAATATCACCTAATTGTGCCTTCTGGCCACTCAGTTCCACTCTTAAGAGACAGCCAGTGTTCAGATATATTCTCCTCTTTCCTAATATATTCCATCTATATATGTTTGCAAATATATGCTTTTTGAGATAAAACACACCCATACACAAATAGTAGCATACTACACGTAACCACTTCGGTCTTTTCATTTTCTATACCTTAGAGACTTTCCTAAATTACTTCATATAGAACTGCCTTACTCCTTTTAAGAGCTGCTACTAATTCACTATATGACTATATCAATTATTTTACCAGTTCCCTACTTATAAGTAATTAGGTTTTGTAAGAACTGTTGTGCTTACAAACACAGCAGTGAACACCTTCGTGCTATTTTTAACCCCTACATATGCATGTGTGTGTAAATATATGTTATGTACCTATGATAAATCTGCTAAAACAAAAGTTATGTGCATTCTTCATGTGTGATTGCATGTATGCACACTACATTTACAAAAAAATGTGTACTGAAGTACAGCATACATTCAGAACAGTACCTAATTCTTAAGTTCATAGCTTGATGAATTTTCCCAATATAATCCCACCTAACAGAGATTTCAAACAAAAAAAAAAATACAAGATTATAAGCCTCCAAAAGCCGCTCATGTCTCCATCCAGTAAGCTCCCCAAGAGTAATACTACCCTGACTTCTAACACCACAATTCTGTTTTTGAACGTGTATTTTTGTGTTTGACTCTTTCACCTAACATTATCCTTGTGAGTCATTCCTCTTGTGTGAATTGTAATTCATTATTATTGCTCTATAATATCCCTTATGTAAATACATCACAACTTATCTAAACTTATCTATACTATGCAAGGTGTGTGCATTCTTACATTTTAATATTATTCAATTAGTCTCCATAGAGTTTAGAATCGTACCATTAATATATGGAAATAGCTGTTTTCCTACACCTTAGCCAACAGCTAATCAAACGTCTTAATCTTGGCTAATCGGATATTTTTAAAATGCTTTCAGTATAGTTTCAATTTGCTTTTCTCTTATAACCACTAAAACTGAGGAACATTTCATACATTTAGGTATGAAAGCCACTTGACTTTCCTTTGAACTGCCTCTGAATGTGCCCACTTGGCCTTTTCTATCAGCAGGCGATCCTGCTTCGTAAAGGAAATTAGTCCTTTGAACATGCTGCATGGCAACTACTTTTTCCCAGCTTATCACTACAGTCCCAATTTTGCTTATACTAGTTTTTGCCATGTCTAGGTTGTCTGTTTTTTGGGGTTTTGTTTGTTTAAAACGAGAAGTCTTGCTCTGTCACCCAGGCTGGAGTGCAGTGCAGTGGTGGGATCTCAGTGGCTCACGCCTGTAATCCTAGCACTTTGGGAGGCCAAGGCGGGTGGATCACTTGAGGTCAGGAGTTCAAAACCAGCCTGGCTGATGTGAAACCCCCATCTCTACTGGGAAAAAAAAAAAAAAAAAAAATTAGGTGGTGGCAGATGCCTGTAATCCCAGCTACTCGGGAGGCTGAGGCAAAAGACTTGCTTGAATCCACAAGGTGGAGATTGCAGTGAGATAAGATCACACCACTGTACTCTAGCCTGGCCAAGGAGACTCCATATTTCAAAAAAAAAAAAAAAAAAAAAGTGAGATAGCAAGCTAGTTATCTCTTTTCCTGAATGGCTACTCAGTTTATCCAATACTATTTACTAAAGAATTCACTATTTTCATCACATATACCACAGTTGACCACACAAAACATTCCTATAAATGAAGCTACTTCAGTGCTCTCAACTCTGTGCCAGTGATTGGATGCTCAAATTGGTTTGGCTTCAACATACACTTTAATATTTGACAGCACTAATACCCCCTTCATGAACAGAGTTTCATAATTTTTGTGAAAATTTTCATTTTTGTTCTTTCATAAAACTTTCAAATCAACTTTTGAAAAGCCTATTACGATATTAATTGGGATTACTTTAAATTCGCAAAGAGTGTGTGTGTGTGTGTGTCTGCGTGTATCTTCCCCCAGAGATTGCATCTCACTATATTGCCCAGGCTGGTCTCCAACTCCTGGCCTCATGTAATCCTCCCACCTCAGCCTCTCAAAGTGCTGGGTTATAGGCGTGAGCCACTGTGCTTGGTCAATTTCACTAAATCTAAGACATTTGAAATGTAAGATGCACAGTTATTTTATGCCACTTGAAAGAGCTTCTTTAGATGTAAACGCTTCTGTTTTCATATCACGTCTGACTTGTGCTTATAATGAAAGTTATATAAAATAAATTGGTTAAGATGCTCCTAACCTAACTTCATAATTACCACATGGCCAGAAGTACCTGGAAGATGTCATCAGTTTTAATATCTTCACTTTAGAAATCATAGAGGGTTGGCCGGGCGCGGTGGCTCACGCTTGTAATCCCAGCACTTTGGGAGGCCGAGGCGGGTGGATCACGAGGTCAAGAGATCGAGACCATCCTGGTCAACATGGTGAAACCCCGTCTCTACTAAAACTACAAAACATTAGCTGGGCATGGTGGTGCGTGCCTGTAATCCCAGCTACTCAGGAGGCTGAGGCAGGAGAATTGCTTGAACCCAGGAGGCAGAGGTTGCGGTGAGCCGAGATTGCGCCGCCATTGCACTCCAGCCTGGGTAACAAGAGCGAAACTCCGTCTCAAAAAAAAAAAAAAAAAGAAAGAAATTATAGAGGGTTAAAAAAAAAAAAAAAAGCGTCTTTCTAACAATATAAAATACGGCAATTTAGAGGGGATACTGATATCTTATCAATGTGAGAGCTATCCTATTCAAGAACAAAATATGTTTTAGCATTTATTCAATTCTTTTATGAGCATCAGTAAAGTTTTATATTTTTCAGAAATATCTTTCATTTTCTGGTTAATTCTTATTAATTATTCTTTATCTTACTTTTTTCTTCGTAGAGATAGTGTCTGACTGTATTGCCTAAACTGGTCTCAAACTCTGGGCTCAAGTGATCCTCCCACCTTGGCCTCCTTCCCAAAGTGCTGGGATTACAGCCATGAGCCACTGTGTCTGGCGAGTTTATTTCTAAGTAGAATTTTTTTCCTTCAAAAATTCTGCTTTGAAAATGTGCAAAACCTTTATACAGAAAATTATATAACAATACTGAGAAGAAAAATTAAAGACCAAAACACATGGAGAAAAAAATGTTTATGAATCAGAAGATTCAATGGTACAAACATTTCAAATTCCCATTATAGCAGGTGTAACTAAAAACAAAAAAAAAAAAAAAAAAATTTTCAATTATTCCAAACTGATTCAACACAATTCCAATCAAATCCTAACAGGTATTCTTGTGGAACATCACAGCTGATTCTAAAATTTATGTGGAAAAGCACAGGGCTGAGGGCCCAGGGCCACACATAACCAACATTTATTATCCACTGAATATCAAGACATAAAACTAGACTAGTGTTTCTCAAACTTTTTGGTTTGACATTCCTGCAAACTCTTGAGATTCTAAAATGCTTTAGTTAACATGGGTTATAGCTATTATATTTAACACATTAGAAATTAAAACAGGAAATTTATTTATTTATTTATTGAGATGGAGTCTCCCTCTGTCACCCAGGCTGAAGAGCAGTGGCATGATCTTGGCTCACTGCAACCTCCGCTTCCCAGGTTCAAGCAATTCTCCTGCCTCAGCCTGCCCAGTAGCTGGGATTAACAAGCATGTGCCACCACATCCCACTGATTTTTTATTTTTAGTAGAGACAGGGTTTCATCATGTTGCCCAGGCTGGTCTCGAACTTGTGACCTCAGGTGATCTGCCTGCCTTAACCTTCCAAAGTGCTGGGATTACAGGCATGAGCCACCAGGCCCAGCCAAAACAGGAAAGTTTTAAATATCAATTCATTCATTTAAAAATAACGAGAAATCTATTATATACTACCATAAATAACACTTTAATGAAAAATAACTGTTTTCCAAAACAAATTTTAAAAAATGAGTGAGAAGAGTGGCACTCTGACATTTTTGGAAATCTCCTTTATTTGGGAGACAGCTTGGTTCTCTTATCTGCTTCTGCATTCAGTCTGATGCAGCACTGTATTTCACGTGGCCGCTGGAAAACCCTATTGTACATTTGTGAGAACATGAGTCTGGGGCAAAAAAATCACCTAGTGTTACTATGGAAAGAGTTTTGACCTGGCCAACACCCCGTTCTGAAAGGGTGTCAGGAAACGAGGAATAGAAGAGGCAGGCAAATCCTTGTATACACGATCACCTGATTTGTGTCCAAGGAAGCTCTACAGAGCAGGAGGGGATGGCATTTTCAATAAATGGAACTAAACATCATCATCATCATCATCATGATCATTTGTCATCTAGGAAAACAAACTGACCCCATCTCGCACCACACAGAAAAAAATTCCAGAGATTGTTGATTTAAATGTGCAAAGCAAACAATAACAGAAAATAACGTACATTGTCTTCACACAGGTGTATAAAAACTCCTAATTACAAAGGAAAAGTCAGAAATGTTCAACTACATTAAAATTAAGATTTTCTTTAATCAGAGAGATGCAAATCAAAACTACAATGAGATACAATTTCACTCCAGCTTAAATGGCTTTTATCAAAAAGACAGGCAATGACAGATGATGGCGAGGTTGTGGGGAAAAAGGAACCCTTGTACACTGTTGTTGGGAATGTAAATTAGTACGATCACTATGTGGAGGTTCCTCAAAAAAAAAAAACTAAAAATAGAACTGTGTGATCCAGCAATCCCACTGTTGGGTATACACCCAAAAGAAAGGAAATGAGTACATCGAAGAGATTTCTGCACTCCC